GCTTCCAATTTAATACTTTTTTTCGAATACAGCTCCCGGAGGGAACCAAGCTCGGCCCATTCCAACACTATTACCTGTGATCGAGAAATCTTTGAAATCCCATAAAATTTAAGGATATTAGGTGAATCTCGTAATTTTCTTAGTATAGCAAGTTGCGCTTGATATCTAGCAAGCTCTGCCTGTGATCTATTGTCATCATCACTAATAGCCACAATCTTGCAAGCGACATCATGTACTTTATATATTTTCTTGGTAACACGACCTCGGGCATCGTCACTTTTTCCATGCGGAGGATCTTGTAGCTCTGAGGGTTTTATCTCGTGTGATTTCATTTTCTTGATGTTATCCGGTATTGTAGAGGTATCCAACTGATTTTTGATAATCTTTACTTCTTGAATAACTGTGTTGATGGCCTTATTTTGATCAATAATATTACCCTCGATTTTTTCTAAAAACTACGAGAGGGTGAAAAAATCTTAGAGTAGTTATAATTCGTTTTGAAAAGGAATTTTGATAAATACGTTACATTCATCATCTCCGCAATATCAGACTCGAGACCTTGTTGGTCGAGCTTTCGTTGGTCCTCATTAGTTACAGCCATTGCAAAGTGCAAATCTCTCATGGTGACTTCGAATTCGTTAATAAGCTCCTCAAATTTTTTCCTGATTGTATTCGCATTGAAAACCCTTTTGTAACTTTGAAGTGTTGACACATCCTTGATAAAATTTCTAATCCTCTTCAAGATGTCAATAAAACGCAAGAACGTTTTATAATATCCTTCGTTCTGGAAATTTTTTTCATTTTCGGTTTTTCTTCGTTTCAACGTTTTAATAGCAGCCTCCGCAGCGTTAACACGATCCATGAGCGAATTGCAGATTTTTAGGTTATATTTGGCATTGTCATAAACGTAAACAATTTCGTTGATTATTCCAGTAACACATGTGATGAGGGGCAGAAAAGGCTGAACCGCTTCGCCAGCAGCATTGATTAAATGAAGTGTATTTTCGACGTAATCTATCGTGAAAGACTCTCCTTCTTCTCTTTCTTCTTTTCCATCATCCGTAGGCATGGTAAAAGTACCAAACAAGTAATTCTCTGTGTGCTCATTATATAAGAAAATTCGAACTCTGGTCACGACTAGGGATGGGCAATATGCGCATTTTTCAAAATTTCCGCGCGTAATGCGCATGATGCGCTATGTATACACATGATATGTATGATGCACATAATGCATGAAATGTTGTACAGCATTATACAGCATTAATGTATTACAATGTAATAATCTTTGTATAACTTGATCGATAAGTTTTTTTGATACAAACATAACGAT